ACAATATAAAATAATGGTTTCTATTTTAATATCCTTTAAAATATAATTTATTTCTGTGATGCAAAGCTGAATTTCCATCAGCCATTACTCCAGTATAAAGTGTCACATGATCCTTCAGAAATCATTCTAATATGCTGATTTATTATTAGAATTATAAATGTTGGCAACAGTTGTGCTGCCAAATATTTTTATGGAAACTGCAATACTTTTTTCAGGATCCTTTGATGAATAAAAAGTTTAAAAGAACAGCACTTATTCAAAATATAAATCTTTTCTAACAATATAAATCTTTGCTATCACTTCTTAACAATTTAACACATCCTTGCTGAATAAATAATGCTGAATAAATAATGATAATAATGAATAATAATAAATCAGCATATTAGAATGATTTCTGAAGGATCATCATTCTGAAATGATGCTGAAAATTCAGCTTTGCATCACAGAAATAAATTAGATTTTAATGTATATTAAAATAGAAAAACGTTATTTTACATCGTAATAATATTTCACAATATTTTTTTTTCTTGTATTTTTGATCAAATAAATGCAGCCTTGATGAGCATAAGAAACTCCTGTAAAAAACATTAAAAATCGTTCTGATCCCAAACTTTTGACCGGTAGTGTATAGTATCGTTCACTCTAATAAGATCATTTTTTTTGTTTTGTGTTTTTTTTTTTTACTTTAAAAATTCTAATTTAAAAATGTAACTCTAATTTGTACAATTCTTTTTTGTTGTCCAAAAGTCTATACCACTTGTAAGTAAATGAGTAGTTTGGACACTCTGCAAAATATCTTTTTTTTTTTGCTTTGCACAGAAATAAATTAATTAAGTTGAAAAATTATAGACAATTGTGCTCTTTTTTTAGGGTTTTCTATGCTTTTAAACTGCTTGTTTGTAATATAGTAGCTGTTTGTCCTTCATGTAAAGCTCCATAGACCTCCAGATCTACGCTGTGACTCCAGTTTCAGAAAACATTGATGTGCTGCAGATGGACCGCGTGCCGGACCGCATCAAGAGCTTCTACAGAGTCAATAATGTCCGGCGCTTCCGTTACGACCGGCCCTTCCACAAGGGCCCGAAAGACAAGGACAATGAATTTAAGGTGAATTTGAAGTTCTTCTCTAGGAACACTAGTGGATAAATGAGTTTAACACCAGGCGTAGGCTGAAGTTGCATCATGTGTGTGTTTTCTCAGAGTCTCTGGATCGAGCGGACAACACTCATCCTTACCCACCCTCTGCCTGGCATCTCCCGCTGGTTTGAGGTGGATAAGCGTGAGCTGGTGGGTGACTCATCCAAACAAAAGCTGAATGTATCATCAACATAATGAGGCCACCATTTTAGTCTGTTTATTAAATCTCAAAGTCAATCATCTGGAGCTGATAGCCTCATGGGCAGCTGTCCAACACAATGCGTGTTTTTTTTTTTTATGATTTTGCATAAATAATTAAATTATTGAAATTTATATTACTCAAACACTAAACCAAATTTAATTTTAAAAAGTAACTTTCAAATTTTTAATTTAAAAATGCAACTTTAATGAAGTCATGAATTTACATGGTTTTTGCTTGATTAAGTAAAATAATCTCTAGTTTAAATGTACACGAGCTTAGTTTAAATAAAAAAAATTAACATTTTTAATTAAAATTGCTTTCATTAAGTCATGAATTTACATATTAAATATGTTTTAATATGATTTTTCATATATAATTAAATAAACAATAACTCTTATATAAATGTAGACTACCCAAACACTGAAGTCAATTTAAAGTTACAATTTTAACTTCAAAATTAAATCAATCAATCATATTAAATTAAAAATTTAAAAGTTAACTTTCATCAAGTCATTAATTTACATATTGAATATTTGTAATATGATTTTGCATAAATAATTAAATAAATAAAAACTTACAAATCTAAATTTGTACTACCTAAACACTAAACTCAATTTAAAGTTACAATTTTAACTTAAAAATTAAATCAATCAATCATATTAAATTAAAAATGTAAAAGTTAACTTTCATCAAGTCATGAATTTACATATTGAATATTTTTTATATGATTTTGCATAAATAATTAAATAAATAAAAAACCCAAACACTAAACTCAACTTAAAGTTAAAATTTTAACTTAAAAAAGATAATAAATAAAAAACTAAAATTCAATTAAAAATCATATTAAATTAAAAAGTTAACATTCATCAAGTCATGAATTTACATATAGAATGTTTTAATATGATTTTGCATAAATAATTATTCTATTCCATTTAAATTTATACTACCCAAACACTAAACTCAATTTACACCGACAATTTTAACTTTAAAAATTACTTTCATGAAGTCATGAGTTTACATATTAAACATGTCTTAATATACTTTTAAATACTACTCAATCACTAAATTCTGGATAATAGTTTTATAATAATGTCAATATATATGTACAGATTTACTGAACAGAAATTGTAACATACATTCAGAGTGCCTGTGTTTACCTCGTGTGTGTCCTGCACTGTAGGTTGAAGTTAGTCCACTGGAGAATGCCATATATGTGGTGGAGAACAAGAACCAGGAGCTGCGCACCCTGATCAGTCAGTACCAGCACAAGCAGCTTCACGGAAACATCAACCTGCTCAGCATGTGCCTCAACGTGGCTTTTAGCCCAAGTCTGTTAGTTTGAGGTAATTGAAATATTATTTTATACCTACAATCTGACATTTTTTTAGGAAAATGGGCCAAAGATATTGATGATTCATCATGCACTCATGGGCGTTTCCAAATATGTGTCCAATCAAATCAGAATCAGAATCAGAATGAGCCTTATTGCCAGGTATGTTTACACATACGAGGAATTTGTTTTCGTGACAGAAGCTTCCACAGTGTAACAGAATGACAGTATATGATTTTGCATAAATAATTAAATAAATAAAAAACCCAAACACTAAACTCAACTTAAAGTTAAAATTTTAACTTAAAAAAGATAATAAATAAAAAACTAAAATTCAATTAAAAATCATATTAAATTAAAAAGTTAACATTCATCAAGTCATGAATTTACATATAGAATGTTTTAATATGATTTTGCATAAATAATTATTCTATTCCATTTAAATTTATACTACCCAAACACTAAACTCAATTTACACCGACAATTTTAACTTTAAAAATTACTTTCATGAAGTCATGAGTTTACATATTAAACATGTCTTAATATACTTTTAAATACTACTCAATCACTAAATTCTGGATAATAGTTTTATAATAATGTCAATATATATGTACAGATTTACTGAACAGAAATTGTAACATACATTCAGAGTGCCTGTGTTTACCTCGTGTGTGTCCTGCACTGTAGGTTGAAGTTAGTCCACTGGAGAATGCCATATATGTGGTGGAGAACAAGAACCAGGAGCTGCGCACCCTGATCAGTCAGTACCAGCACAAGCAGCTTCACGGAAACATCAACCTGCTCAGCATGTGCCTCAACGGGGTGATCGACGCCGCCGTCAACGGAGGAATCGCTAGATACCAGGAAGTCAGTGCAAACTTGACCAAATGTGATTTAGAAGTGTTGAAAAGAACATTGTTTCTCTTGGCAGAGACGTTTATTGTGCTTTAGAAAGCTCACACTAGCAGAGCCGCTTCTTCATGTTCAGCTGACAAGCTTTTTGTTGCCCAAATGCATGAACATCAACAGTTCAGTCTTCATCCAAAAGTATGGTTTCATAATAAGTTTGTCGACTGTGTTTCTATGCCAGGCGTTCTTCGATAAAGAGTACATTAGCAGTCACCCGGAGGATACGGAGAAGATCACCCAACTCAAGGATCTGATGCAGGAACAGGTGAGCACCTCCAGAACGTCTTCATTTTAACCACTCAGAAGAGATTTATAAACATCAGATAATGGTTCTTATTGAATAAACCGCACAGGTTCATGTCCTCGGAGTGGGTCTGGCCGTCCACGAGAAACTGGTGCATCCGGAAATGCGTCCCCTGCACAAGAAGCTGATCGATCAGTTCCAGATGATGAGGAGCAGCCTCTGTCATGTGAGACCTCACATCTGCTTCTCAGGAATTTGATTAATTTTCTGCCCCAATAATCAAAATGTAGATACAGACCCAGATAAATCAAAATGCATTTTAGTTTTATTGCAGCTATGTTGGCTTATCTGTCAACCTGCAACACCCTAGCAACTGCAGAGCAGCACCCTAGCGACCACCGAAGAAAGCCCGAATCGCATAACAACTAGCATGTTAGCAACATGATAAAACATACTAGCAATTGCATAGCAACTGCTCAGAACACCCTAGCCACTGCCAAGCATCGTCATAGCAACACCTTCACAACCACCAAGAACACCCTAGTAACTGCCTAGCAACACTGTATCAACCATTCACAACACCCTAGCAATCACCTACAGCATCCTGGGAACTTCATAGCAACACCCTCACAACCACCAAGAACACCCTAGTAACTGCCTAGCAACACTGTATCAACCACGAACACCCTAGCAGCTGCCCAGCAACCCCCCAAAAAAGCACCCTAGCAACTTCCTAAGCAATGACCAAGAACACCCTAGTAACTTCCTAGCAACTAGCTTAAACATGCTAGCAACATAAAACATACTAGCAGTTGCATAGCAACTCTTTAGCAATCACTCTAAGCAACTTCTTAGCAATTGCCTAGTTTTAAACTTTAAACTGGTCTTCAGACTTCAAGCTTGTATAACTACTTCAAACTTTGTGGTCAGGGTTCTCAAGCCAGCATCAAGGTTTGACTTGACAAACTTTTTTATTTAGTTTAGTATTATATTTTATTATAATTTTTAAAATAAAAAAAAAAAAAATATATATATATATATA